CCCCAAAACCCCAAAACCCCAAAACCCCTAGCATTTTTGATTAAATTGAACCGCAATAAAATGGATAGCTCAGATCCATTGAGAAACTTCAGTTACTCTTTTATATGAATTTTCTGCAGGATTTGGTTAATCTCTCTAGCATATCTTGGGCTCTGAAACTCTATACGCAGATTTTCTATCTTCCTGAGCTGGAATAATAATTCTTTCTTATTAACTTCATTATTACTGGTCAGAGAACTTATGATGCTTCGAGAAGTTTCTATTCCTTCAGAGAAAGCTTGGATTAAGTCTAGATTTAACTTGAGAAGTTTATTAAGGTCTGAGTCGTCTAAAGTCTCTATAGAGTCAATAGTCTCATCGTGACTCCTTTGAAGGTGCTTGCATTTAATTTGCTCACTGTAGTTGATTCTTTTACGCAGCCTTTTTGGCTTCATAACTCTTCATGGTGAATCACTGTAGGGATTACTTGAAATAGACTCTGGCTTCTTCCTTCCTAGAACAGGACTGTATGACTGATTGTTTTTAACCATATTTTCTTTTTCACCGTCATTGTGAATTTCTGAACACTTTTTCTTAATTTTTGATCTATTTGCACTCTTCCGGTATTTAGGTGTATAGCCAAAATGGTATTTTCCTTTAATATTTTTATAATTCATGAAGCTTTTATTCGCTAGAGGAGATCGTTTATTCCATATCCTTCTTGAAGGATGAATCTTTGTTTCCTTCTGGCTCTTCTTCACCTTGCTTATCGGATTATTTTTATCATAACTCATATTATGAGTCTTGTTCTTGTTTAAATGAAATCCTGAAGAATGTTTGATGTTCTGGATGCTTGAGACTGAGCTTTTGCCTCCGTCCCTTTTGAACCTTGACGATTCAGCTGTAATGTCAAGGTAGTATAGTTTGGTAGCTTGAGGCTTCACATGTTCTTTAAGACCAGAATTCTTCATGCAAGCTCGCTTTGATTTAGGAGAAGTCTTCTTTACTGTATTTCATAATTCTTGACGAATATTAGTCGTAGTTCTGTTTGCAGGATGCTCACAGTTTTCTTTTTGGTCTATTGTGAGAGTTCCAATAGGATTTTTAAGAGATGGTGATGAAGAGGTTAGCCTCTTAAGGTTGGGTGTATTTTTAGCAAAGGTATATAGCTGAATTTCTTGGAAACAGTTGGCTCATTGCGATTCTATTGACCCTTCTTGTTTATTGAGATGTGGCAGTGAACAATCATTTTTAGGCTCTTTGGTGATGTCTTTATTAAAATTATCATCCTTCTTAGGAGCATTATGCTTATTTTTCTCTTCTGAAAAGAATCTTTTAGTATGATTTTTGTGCGGTAAAGTTTGTAATTTTTTAAACATTTTCAAAGTTTTAAGCTGTCCTCTTGCAGTTTTAAATTTTAAAAGTGATGCTTTTCATGATTGAGATCTTTGCAAAAATTTGCTGTCAATTCTTAGAAGTGAGCCATATCATGTCCGATTGATTCTATCCAGCATTTTCTCTTTAATCTCTCCTTGGCAACTGGATACGAATCTCTTTGGAATATTAATAGAGGGAAGATCAGCAGGAGATCATTCTTGGATTCGTGGTTCTTCAAGTTTAGTCTCTTCATGTGTCAGTTTGAATTCCTCTTGGTTCTGATTTTTTTGATCTCCTTTCGTAAATATTGAAGACTTGGAGTCATCTCAAGGATATTCTTCGTGGTGAAGATAATTTTTAAGAGATTCTCACTCTAAATTCACTCCCCATTTCATAAATTCTTCGAGACCTTCAACAGTTTTGGTATGGGAAAACTCATCAGATTTATTGATTTTCTCGAATTGGGAAATATCAGATGGGATATCAATTAAATCTGGGCTTATCATTCCTGCAAAGTTAGGCTTTTGGCTATAGTCATGAGTTACTAGGTCAGCATCCAACTCTTCATCACAAAATAAGTCTGGGTCTTGCTCAGGTACAGGAGTTTTCTCATTTCGGTTTACTATAAATACTTTGTTCTGATCAGATTGTGGCTTCATAGGCGGCTTATTTTCTTCAGATTTTAAGAAAATGTCAACATCCACATCTTTAGCTTCAAAACTCAGCTCAGGAATGTTTTCAAGACTTGTGGTGAGTACATTTTCGCTGCTTTTGTTCTTAAGTAAGGAATGCTGAAATTCTGAGCTTTTCTCACTATTTTGCCGCTTGATTCTTCTTTCTCAATCATTTAAAGGAGAGGTACTCTTTCTGATACATTTTTGAGCAGACTGACTCTTGGATCTGGGATATTCACTTTGGTCAAGGTCTTCATCACAGAGTAATTTATGAATGCTTTCTTCTTGTTTTGGCTCATTAGGTTGAACAAAGTGGCTATAAATTGGTATTACTTCATTAATTTTTACCTTTCGTTTAGAATACAGTATCCTCTCAGTTCCATCATTAGCTGGGAAGATAGCCTGTTTCTGAGTCCCTTCTTAGAGTTTATGTAATAAAGCAGGAAATCAGGTGAGAAGTTGGGAAAACTTTCAGCAATTCCTTTGAAGAACTCACTGATATAAAAGTTTGAAGGATCTCAAGAATTCTTAATATCTGATGAAGATTGAAGAGAAAGACTTGTCAAAGTATAAATTGATGTTCCTTTGTAGTCTCCGACTCTTAAGAAATATCCATAAGGAAGATCTGGATTTATAATAGCAGAGTCTTTATTTGAGACAAGAAGAGACTCTAGTAGCCTAAAATCATGATTTTCTTGACTATAAGCTATTGTTTTCAGTTTAGCTATGTCCAGTAATTGATTTTTAGTAATAAGATATAGTCTAACAAATCATGAACCACAAGTCCTCTGCTGAAGATAGACCATCCCTGGATGATTCGATATTTCTGAGTAAACTATATCAAAGTTTTCCAGTTTTATTGAAACTTTATCAGAAATTGGAGTTTTGTCTGTTCACCCAGAAAGGAGATACTCGAAGATTTCATTTTTCATTTCCGTATCATAAGCAGCATACCAAATAAGTTTATTCTCTTTATTACTATCATAAAATTTGAGGGTGTCTTTAGCTTCCTCAAGAAGTTCATGATGATCTGTACTTGAAACTCCTGAAGTGCATGCATCATCGCCGTCTCTCAAATAAAAGCCCTTATCCATTGCACTTTGAAGAATAGTTTTCTTTTGGTCTCTAAATTGGTGACCCCAGCGAGGAGTTTGACTATTTGGGTTAAGATGTTCCTCTTTTCAATCAGAGTTGAAGTTTTCATCTAAATCAATTTTGTTATTCCTCTTAAAAGAGATAATAATGAAGCACTGAATATATTAAAGCGATCAAGAAATCTCATTTAGAAAAGAATTAAAAATGTCTAACAATCAGTTATCTTCAAATTAGTTGAAGAAGTTTTTATTGAAAACAGGTCTTACGAAAACTCTCAAATTCATTTAATTCTTCCGAGTTGATCCTTGAAGAGTCTTCATCCTGTGACAGGCTCATATATGATATCTTTCTCACTTTCCTATACCAAATTACCACCAACCCCAATCACCTCCACCTAAATCCCCCTAAATTAACTCTTTATGAACTTTTCACTCATCTCACTCACCAAATTTTTCAAAAATTCCAAAAATTCCAAATTCCAAAACCCCCTATCTCCCCTCTCTCACCATCTCCCACCCCACCCATCCCCTCTCCTATCCACTTACCCACTTCCATCACCCTCTGAACATCAGGAGCAGAACGACTCTAACTTATCATTATCCATTATTATTTAAATTGTTTCAAAGTTGCTCTATTTCTGGGGTTTTGGGGTTTTGGGGTTTTGGGGTTTTGGGGTTTTGGGG